GGAGAAGCAGACTCCCTGCCGAGCAGGGAGCCTGATGCGGGACTCGATCCCAGGACTCCAGGATCATGACCTGAGCCGAAGGCAGTCGCTTAACCGACTGAGCCACCAGGCGCCCTGTGACCCAGTGCTCTTAAACCACTTCTTTTCTCACTTACCAGTGGAAATACTTAATTTTAAGCCCGTTTTATGCAAAGAAGTGGGTTTCAGCCATACTTTGAGGAAAATATGATTCTGTGGGTCAGACTGACATATTTGTGCCACAACTATGAATTTTGTTTCTAGGCCTTCAGCAATGAAATAAATGCCTTTATTTTGCCTTTTTAGTGTTTAAGTCACCTAAAAGTTCTATATGCCAAAATCTTTAGGTCTGCATATTTTTGTCTTATATACAGCTGTAGAGGGAGAGGCAGGGACTGTTTCTCCACCACTGCACCCAACACACACACACACAAAGACCCCAGCACACACACACACACACACACGTGCATACATGAACACACGTGCACACACAGCCAACACACACAGCCTAAAATTTCCCTGAGACTGCTCACCATTCCTGGGAGCTCTTGATTACTTGGGTTTTCTTTCTTTTGGAAGAAATTTTCCATATATGCTGTGATTTTGTAAATTGCAGTTCTTTTAGCAGAGCTATGCCTGTGGCCTACAAATCTCCAGTTCAATTTGAGTTCCAGCTGACTTTCTGGAAGAATCTTTTATCTCAGAAGATTATGTGGAATAGTTATTTATTTATTTGCTTTAAGATTTATTTATTTTAGAGAGAGAGAATGAGAAGGAGAGGGAGAGAGAATCCTCAAGTGGACTCCATGCTGAGCACGGAGCCCGATGCGGGGCTCGATCCCACAACCCGGAGATCAGACCTGAGTGGAAATCAAGTCAGACACTTAACCGACTGTGCCACCCAGGTGCTCCAATGTGGAATATTTAAAAATAGAATCATCGGGCCATTATTTAGAATTTAGGATGGTTTCCTGGCTTGCAGGTGGGGACGTTGAAATGCAGTGTTCTTGAGTTTGGATTGCAGCCCGCTAGACCCCTGCTAGTGCAAGAGCTCTGCCCATCTCTTCTCCCCAGGAGCACAGATTTCCTTCCCTTTTTGGGGTCTTTCTCTCTCTCTCTCAAAAATTTTCCATTTCTTGCTGATCCTCTTATCTCATTCTGTTTTCTCCTTTTCCCCCCTCCTGCCTTCTTTCCTTTCCATTCTGGAAGGTCTCATCGTGCTCCTTTCATCTGCCTTAGTCCACTTCCCAGCCTTCCTCATAGGAGGCACTTCCTCCTATTTCCAGTGTCATCCTCCCTCCAGTTAGTAGATTATCATTTTTCTTTTTCTCTCTTATGGATGACATATGAGATGTCATATGTATGGATGGAGTATGATCCATCTGTATGGATGCCTGTAGCCACTTCATGAGTATATTTTTCAAAATCACATTCTACAAGAGAAAGCGGGAGCCCTGGATCCTGTTCCCCTCCCAGCTCAGTAACTTGGAACACTTGTGGTTTCTTCGGGCAGGTGGTGAGTCCTGGATCAAGGAGGAGGAGCCAGCTGTAAAGCAGGAAGCCTCTGAGGAGGCAGAATTGCCCACAACGCCAGGAGGAGGACTTCTCAGAAACGTTTCCCAGCACTTTGACTTTAAAAGCAAGGCAACATGGCAGACTTTCAGTCTGAATCCGAATCTGATACTTCGGGGTGGGATGAAGTTCTACGAATGTAAAGAATGTGGGAAAATCTTCAGATACAACTCAAAGCTGCTTCGGCACCAGATGAGTCATACTGGGGAAAAGCCCTTCAAGTGTAAGGAATGCGGCAAAGCTTTTAAGTCCAGCTATGACTGTATCGTCCATGAGAAGAATCACATCGGAGAAGGGCCCTATGAATGTAAGGAGTGCGGCAAAGGTTTGAGTTCAAACACGGCCTTGACTCAGCATCAGAGGATCCACACTGGGGAGAAACCGTACGAATGTAAGGAATGTGGGAAGGCCTTCAGAAGAAGTGCAGCCTATCTGCAGCATCAGAGATTGCACACCGGAGAGAAGCTGTATAAATGCAAGGAATGCTGGAAGGCTTTTGGGTGTCGGTCACTTTTTATTGTCCATCAGAGGGTTCATACGGGGGAGAAGCCCTACCAGTGTGAGGAGTGCGGCAAGGCCTTCACTCAGAAGATAGCCTCCATCCAGCATCAGAGAGTGCACACCGGCGAGAAGCCCTATGAGTGCAAGGTGTGCGGCAAAGCCTTCAAGTGGTATGGCAGTTTTGTTCAGCACCAGAAGTTGCACCCTGTGGAGAAGAAGCCCGCCAAGGTTCTTGGGCCATCCCTGATGAGTCCCCCGTGCCCCCCTCCAGCCTTCTCTGCCATTCCTGTCCAGGGCCCGTGCTCTGCTCCCCCCGTGGCCGCACCTTCACTGACCTTTCCACATGTTGTGCTCATTCCTACCTCCGGGCCTTTGTTCGTGCTACTGCCCGCACCTGGAATGCCTTCTTCACCTGTCCAAATAGTGCGTGTCTTCCAGGGCCTTCCTCCCACTGTGAAGCCGTCCCCAGTTATGCTGGTCCCTTCCCCTCATGCCTCATGAGCTTTCTTTCAGCACTCTATGAGCTTTTAGGCCCTGCAGATCTTCAGCTTCACTTGGGTTTCATTTGTATGTGTTTTTTTTTTTTTTTTACTTTACACGCATGACTGCTGTTTCAGCATAAACTCCATTATAACTTATACTGAAAGACTGTTTATGTATTTTCTTCCAGGGAGAAAGTGAAACTACCTGACCTTTGCACTGGTCTCTTTCAGGCTTGAACAGTAATGGCAGTATCTGCACTGTGGGGGTGCGGGTATTAGAAGGGCTGGCAGGACACTTGGTTGCCTGAGAGTATCTGGGAGAGAGGCTCCCCTGCGCGGGGCCGTTGTGGTTAGAGCCAAGCGGCTTGGGGGAGGCAGAAGAAGCGCGCAGGAACCGCGGCGAGGGTTGGGGGAGAGGGGAGCGCTGGAATCCACTTCCAGCAGCAGACTCAGAAATTAGTGCAGCTTGTTCAGTGGGCTAAGGTGGTCCATCAACGCAATCGAAGTCATGTTGCCCTTGGCATGGATCATTGAGGATCTCCTGTGTCTATGCAAAAGATCATGTGAGATAACCAGTGAAAAACTAATGTATGCAGTGATCACAATCATTTATGTGATTGATAGCAATCATGTTTTTAAACACAAAGTGTGTGTTTTTTTTCCCTTTAGTTTTGCTCTTGACATCTAGATGTTTCTTTTTAACTTTGGTTTCCTAAGTAAATACACACCAAAGTATTCATCTTTGTTCCATGTGTTGTGTACATTTTTCTTCTTGGGCATTCTAGTTTTCTGTTTGCAAGCATTGGCTTCTACATTTTATGTTCTCCAGATAGCATGAATTGTAAATATGAATTTGGTGAATTATGAAAGAAATAGCATCTGTGTAAAGCCAACGTGGGGGAAATCTGAATAAGTCTCCAAAATTATTTTTTTAGGAATAGAGAGAGCTGTGTGGTGGGTCAGTGGCTAAACTTCTGTGATAGGTCAGTAAAGTGGAATTTTGGATTGCTCTTAGTTTTGACCTTGGCGGGGATCTTTTACAGCTATGCAAAGGACTATGTGAAGCAATTTCTGGAAAAAGAATCTGAGTCCTGCATTATCGGCATTAATATAAAGTAACTCCTTAAACATTGATGAAAGGGGCCGTACATTTTATTCTTCTAAGTTGCTTTTGCTACCCAGATGTTTCTGCACAGCAGTTCACAGAAAAACCTTTAAATCAGTGGTTCTTATACTTTCCCGTGTGTCTGAATAACCTGGTCTGAAAAGAGTAATTTTCTGGCTTAACTCCCAGAACTTCTGATTTTGGATATCTGTGGTGATGGCTAGACATACACTGAGAGAGAAACTCTGAGCACAAAGTGGCTGTGGGCTGTTGGAGGTGTGTATTGATACAGGGTTTGGGAGGGACTGTCTTCCTGCACAGTGGATCTTCACAACAGAGACCTCTAAAAGCAGTGTGGGTGGCATTGGTTTAGAAGAGATACAAGCAATTAAAACATGGCTGGTAGGGAACGGAAGAAAGGGGCAAAGAGGTCTGAGGTGGCCATGAGGCGTGCTAGAGGTCTCCACCGCCAGATGCTTGTGGGGCCTGACATTGGCTACCTTTTGCTATTTTCTTGTTGGCTGAAATAATGAAGAAATATTTTCATATTAGAAAGTTAATTCTCCAAGGAGCTCTTGGGCTAAAGCGAGCACAAATTGCCTGCTATGGATGATCGGGAACTGAACAGTAAGAACAGGATGCGGCAGGGGGATGTGGCAAAAGGCGGTACTCAGAGCAGTATTGACGGGCTTGGATGCATCCTTCACAAGACGAGTTTGAAGCTTTGCAGTTCAGAGAGCTGGGGATGGTGTCTGGTGGTGGGAAGCAAATTAACCACAAACTAAAAAAAACAGACAAAAAAGTCCAAAACACAGTTGGCAAAAATAAGATATGCAACAGAGTTTTTGGTGAAAATGGTGGTTAAACATGTTAGCATTCGTGCCCTCCTGAAACCCCACTAAAACAGCAAAAGATTAAAAATTAAAAGGCACCTGCTGACAAGGACAATGAAAATATGATGTGAAGAGCTTGGAAGCTGGAAGGCAAGTGAAGAGTTACAACTTTGAACAGCCACCAGGGGAAGCTAAGCAGCCATCCTATGTGGCAGATTCCCCACAGAGGCTTAGGAGTTGAAGATTTAGGTTTCTGTGGAAGTAGAGGATGCTGGTGGAGCTAAATATAGGAGAATTTACGAAGTCTTTACGAAGCACTTAGATTCTCAGGTCACCTCCCCTATTCCTCTGTTCAGTGGAGCAGTAAAACAGGAGTTTTGGAGGTCAGGGGTACCATGCTGAATGTCAGGTCCTTCTCCGTCACGCTCTAGCCTTCTGCCCCTGCTTCTATTCCCAGAATGCTGCTGACTAGAATTGTGTACCTTCTCAGCTAGAAATCAGAACTTTCTTTGGGAGATCGGATGAATCAAGAGAAAAGACTGTCTTTTTTGGCTCTCCGGCGATGTTCCAACTGTGCATGTAGAACTTCTTAGCCAGCCTTTTATTTTTTAAATTTAAAAAAATTTTTTAAAGGTTTTATTTTGTGAGAGCACGCAAACGGTGGGGGGAGGGGCAGAGGAAGAGGGAGAGAGAGAATCCAAAGCAGACTTCCTGCTGAGTGCAGAGCCCAACAGGAGACTGGATACTAGGATCTGAGCCAAAATCAAGAGTTGGATGCTCAACCGACTGATCCACCCAGGCGCCCCTCCCTTAGTCAGGGTGTTAATGCTCCATTCTTAGATATAAACCAATAGCCAAGGATATGAAAGAGGCTGGAGCAAGGAAAAAGAAAGCCTACTTGAAACTGGCGGGAAGAGTTTATTCTGAGGTTAGAGAAGAGGTTCACATCTATGAAATGATAGACTGCTCCAAACAAAGGAAAATTCAGAGAACAGGAAAAACCTCTTGAAAACTAAAAGTTGGTATCAGAAATGAGACTTGGAGTGAGCACTGAAAAATAAAGGCAAGGGAATCCCCTAGAAAGCATGGCAAAAAGAGGTGAAAGTAGCCAAAAGAGGTGCAGTGTAGGTGACCTAATAGGAGTTACAGAGAGGGGAACAGAGAAGCAAATCCTAAAAGAAATGCTGCCAGGCGATTTCCCAGAATGGAAGCCTAGGGTTCCGTGCCGTCATCAGCACGTGTTAAGTACTTGGAGTAAAGTTACCCCACCGCAGGCCTCCATGCCCTTCCTGGCAGGAATAAAGAGGGACTCCAGACCCATACCCCAACCTACCATGCTCCAACCTCAGCCTGCCCAGCCTTCTAGTCCGGAGCCTCGGGACAGTCTCCGCCTGCATCGGACGTTAACCTCAGTCACCAGGAGGAGCCCTGACCTCCCAGGATAACCCCCGTCTCCTGCAAATTTAATCCTCCACATCTCTGCATTCCCCCTTTGTCTTCATCTGCTCCCTCTTCAGCTCCTGCATACCTTTCTTCCTTCTGGTCTCTGAAACGGCCAGTCCACTGGTAGCAAAGTCGCCTGTGTGCTGAACCTCTCAACATTGCCTTTACCTTTGTGCTCTAATCAGAACCTGCCGGTCCCTTGAGGTTATTGCTGCCCCAGTGCCCTCTGACAGGGTGGTCCCCTCTCTCACACAGGGCTGATACCAGATAGCCTGGGTCCTCTTAGTTTCTCTTTGCCAGTTCCAGACCATTCTGCCTCTCCTCCCCTTTCCTAAAAACCACCTTTGAATCTCAGGTCATCAGGCTGTACTGCCAGGCTTCTGGGTCACACCCATTTATTTCTAGAAGCTTTTAGTTCCTGGCCTGCTTGCACTCTCTTCAACATTATTCTTGTCAGAGTTCTTGGTGATTTCAATAGCTGATCCCTCCAGTACCTCGCCCTCTCATTTCCTTCCTGGCCCTCCATTTTACCCCAGGCTCTCCTCTGATCAGATCTTAGAACTTGTTGCTACCAAGCACCTCACCTCCTCTGTGGCCTCAGCACTTTAAATATCTGGCCCTCTTAGCTCTTTTCATTCTCTTTAGAATCCTGATGCCAACTGTCCTTCACTTCCTTCGTGCCTGTCCTCTCTCCTTCGCCCAGCATGAATTCCATGCTCAACTATTCTAACAGTCCCTTCACAGTCTCCCTTAACTCCCTTGTCGTCATGTTCACTTGCCCCACCTCAGACTAAACGCAGTTCTTTGCCTTCTCTGTGCCTGCACCTTCCCTACCGAAGGAGATCAGGAAAACACACTACCGTGCTCAGTTGTTTCACCTGAAGTTCGTGACCAGTAACTGCAAGTGGGCCCCTGATGCTTCCCGACAGTCATACATTTCTGGGGTCCACGGCACTCCCCACTCCCTTAGACCACTGTTCTGTAGCTTCTCTCTTCTCAATTCTGTGGTGTCTCCTTCTCAGTCCTCGGGCTCACGATCATTTCTGTCCTCTGCCGGGAGAACACGTAGGCTCCAGAGAGCCTGGGTGACACATGTAGAAGTCAGGTCGAGCCAAGTTGGGCTCGGGATTGCTGCGGCCACCTTGTCTTGCCCATCTGCCTTCCAGCTTGCTGTATCTGGTTTTCCACTGCCATATTCTCAATCACGTACACCAAGACATTTCTACCTCCAAGGTTCGCCCACTCAGCAACCCACTTCTGGTTCCTAATTCTGTGTTGGCCAGTGTTCAGTTGCTACTGCAGATCCACCTTCACTAGTTTAAGTGCAAAGAGATTTGGTACGTATTCCTAGTTAACTTGCAGAATTTCCAAGAGGGAACCAATGTAGAATGTCACGTAGGCAGAAGCCAAGAAAAATAACCAACATTGACAGTACCAGATTGTTCTAGTGGAAACCCAGCAGCGGCTGGTGTCTGCTACTAGATTGTCCTCTACCCCCATTGAATAGAGGGACCAGACCACCAGGAGGTTTCTACATATTCTGGAGAAAAAGCAAGTACCCATACAACTATTTTGGTAGGATACCATAGGGCACTGTGATCTTCCATCTTCTGCAAGGGTGTACCTGCTACTGAAGTTGGTTATATGTGTACATTTGCATAGCAAGGGCTTCTGGGAAATACTTTTTGGATTTTACCTGGGGGAAGTGAGATTTATAAGGTGGGGAAGTCTTAAAATGGGAAAAGGATTTTCAAAATATTTTGGGCAGCCATAAAATATCGGATATCCATTAGAGGCACAGAAGATGATCGAAATGACTGAGGGATGCACTCTACTTGTGAGTGGGGAAGATCAGTACCATCAAGATTTCAACTTTTGCCAAATGAATTTATAGATTAAAAGCAATTCCAACCAAAATTGCGAAGGGGATTGTGTATGGGACCTGAAAAACTGATGCTAAATTTTATATGGGAGAGCAAAGAACAAAGGATAGCCAAGACAATTTTTTTTTTATTCTTATGTTAATCCCCATACATTACATCATTAGTTCTAGATGAAGTGTTCCATGATTCATTGTTCGTGCACAACACCCA